ATAGTCTAAGAAATCAAACTATCTAGCTTCTTCAGATATGGTGCCTATTAACTAGCCTGAGAAGATTCTCCCTCCTTGAGAAACAAGACTGAATATCTCAGCAATTTAATTTGAATTGATGCTGGCTGTTTTTACCTTGAAAGCCCTGTTGAGTACCTCTTCTCCTCCTCTGCTTCCCAACAGGTTAACGATCACTTGTTTTCCATATTGCTCTTTCAGAAGCATCATATGCCTGCAACAGCAGCAGCAACATAGTTTGGTTTAATAACTCTTGCATAGCAACTAACCTTTCCAAAGTGCTTGCAGCAGAGGTGGCTTACATGAAGGTCTCAGCACCAATAGCTGCACAAATATACCTTGGTTTCCTTTTAACGAACATTTAAAAAAACATGCAGTCCGTCACTCCATATTGTTGTCATAATAGTAACTGTAGAAATTGTAAGAATCATACTTTGCTTTTATTGAGTGTAAAGAATGGAGGCCCCAGTCAAGGAAACACAGCTTAGACTATTAATAACTTTGCAAGTTTTGATATTGTAACATGTGCAGCTCTTTTATGGCTCTGACCCTGCAAGATCAATGGTAGGATAGGCATCTACCTAAATTGTGCTGGCTGCTGATTATTTTTAGGTGGCCACTGTGCTGGCAGCCACTGATTTCAGGTGCTTTTTGCATCAGTGGCCACTATTTTTTTTCACTCCCCTTCACACCACTCATTGGCTGAGCCCAGCAGTGTCCCCGCCCCTCACTACTTTTTTTTTTTTCTGGCAGCTGTGGGAACATTCAGTGCCCAGAAACAGCCACTGGAAAAGAAAATGAAAAAGAAAATCTTGCTAGGGTCAGGGGGCTAATCTGAAGCAGCAGGAGCTGGTGGGCAGGGCAGAGGAGATTGGGAGTGAGAGGCAGGATGACTGGGGACAGATTATGGGCATCAATTGCAAGGCACATGTGCAAGCATGTATATTATATGAGCTACTGTGTAGGCTTATCACAAGCCAGACATTGAAACTTCTGAAAGCAAGAATATCCTGCAACAGTGAATGGTCTGTAATGGCAGGAAGGAACATGAAATGAAAATTAACGAACAGCACCAATGATAGGTTGGCTTCTGCTGCCTGTTTTGCCATGCCCCAAGAATGGTGCTGAAAAGTGACAGTAAACCATCAACACAAGTCACAGACTGCATTAGTGAGACCCATCAGCAAGAAATCAGCCACACTGTAAAACACAGTATACATTTCACAGCCCTGCCTTCAAGAAACCTGGCTATAAATCCAGATCAACTGGGTAACAAGCTACGGCCCCCAATTCTGCAACTGGATTTGTTCAGGCAAAACCCTGCCCAATGCAAATAGCCCTTTCATTTAAGTGAAGCTAGTTGCAGCAATAAGGCCTATTTTTGTACTAATATTGTTCTTTTTATCAATAATTGGAAGAATAATTAAAAAGGAAAAAAAACAAGGGCCTTGTCCACAGAAAACAGGATTTTTTAAAAACAAAGAATAGAAACACTAAAGTTAAGGCTTGCCATGTGAACACTGCACTGGGATTTCTCAGAGAAAATAAGGTTTAAAAAAAAGGTAAATTTGTATTCACTTCTCTCAGTGCCTTTTCAACATGTCAAAGCATCAGGTGTGAAAAAGAAACAGACTGTGGCCACTCCAAAACAGATAGAAAAGCAGCTGTGACTTGTTAGGCTCCAGTGACTTTTTCTGCACACGTATTTGATTGCCTCTTGTCAAAGAGCCTCTTAATACAGTCCTTTAAAGATCTAGTTTGGGATGGATGGTCTTGCACAATTCTGGCAGCAGAGAAAACCTGACATCTGGACTGTGATGTGCATAAGAAAGAGGGACAGCTCCAAGCCATTCCATACCTCCTTTGTGCTTGTGAAGAAGCTGCTTGGTAGCTCTTGGGATAATGACTACAGATTCTGTTGGGTAGGTGAGACGGTGAGCTTACTTCCCCCTGGCTGCATCTACACAAAATGTTGACTGCATAGTAGCTCCTTACTACTGCACAGTAGCATTGTGTGGTAAAAAGTGTGATGTGATGCTACTGCACAATAGTAACGAGCTACTGCACAGTCAGCATTATCAAGAAGCCATAGGGGGATGCTACCGCACAGTAACTCCAAGCATTTAGTATTTGTGTATGCAAGTACTAAATTACTGCGCAGTAACAACTACACAGTCAGCATCACGTGTAGACATGGCCCTTGACACCTTGGGGGTTGCACAACATAGGGTGATGTTGACTGAGCTGTGATTATATGTGCAGATTCCTTCTCTGCTGAGCAAAAACCCACAAATGTGAAGGAGGTTCAAGATAGTTGGGCACAGCTCTGCCAGGAAGCCGGAAGACAGCAAGCCCCAGAATCTCACAAGTGTTCATGTATTTAAAATCAATGGGATTTAGGCACCTTTAAGAACCTAGGCCCAAATTCTCTGGGGTATGGACTCCTTATGAACAATGAAGCCCTAATTCCCAATCATTGACCAAAACTATCAGTAACGGCCATTTTTTAGGAAAAGCACAATAAATAACACAAATAAAATACAAATACCTACAGACAAGCAGGCATTTTGCTTGAACATAAGTTTTAATTTGTCAATAAAAGTCACATGATTAGGTTAGTCAAGGGCTTGGAAATTCCCCAAACAAACCCCATCATATTGTTCTGAGACAGTGTTCCTGCTG